TAGCAGAATCCGCTCCCTTCTTTTCTTCACCATCGCCAGAAGCTCTCCCCTGAGGAGAACGGAGTCCTGTCTTGTGCCCCGCTGCACTCTGCCGCCAGCCAAGGTATCTTTGAGGTAAAACACCGCAGAGCTGCCTGTGGCCCAGCAGCGAAGGTCAGAACTGGCCTGGGCACCATCTAACTGGTTATATTGGGATACATATTCCAATACCCATCTCTATGGAAATTCAATGTGAGCAATCCTGAGCTGAGCCCTGAGAAGGTCACACTCACAAGAGTGAATGAAGGTGCTTACCTCCAGGATCCCCTCCCCTCACCACTGCCCAGCTTTTGAAAGGTTTGGGCTAGGTTACATTTTCTGAGGGATCTTAGGCTGCAATTTAAAAAATCCCAATTTCAGTGCTTATGTCATATTGAATTATGTTGGCAGGAAAGGACTTAATGTCTCTCCTCCTTCTATTTTATGTTATCATCATTTAACACCAAGTGAAATAAAAAAGTACAGATTAAAAAAAAAAGCTTGTTTGTATTATATTGCATTTTCTTTTTGGCTTTCTACACCATAACTTTAAATTTTTCCACTGTTTTTTGAAAAGTTGCCTAATGGTAACAAATGAAAGAGGACATTGCAGTGCTGCAGTAATTGATTCATTTCAAATGAATACCTTTGTGATGGAATGTTTTTCAAAGAAATCCTTTTTCATTCTGCCAGCCCCACTATTCAATTTGTAGACTTGAAATTAAATAGATGTATAGTGTTCTATCAGTCTGGAGTGACTTCTGAAGAATTAGGGTTACTTATATTTTTTTAAATTTTATTTCTTAAGTCTTTAAGGAATATTTTGGGAACTGATAAGTGCCTGTAATTTATTACAAGAAAGAGCTGTTGGCTGAGCAGAGGTATCATTTATCTCTTCTAGCCTACAGCAGAATTGCTGTATTACTACACTGTAAACATACTGAGATAATTGCTAATGGTGAGTGACAGAATACTCAGCAGTTTGCCTATGGACAAGCTCACTCTGGGTATCACTGACACTGAGCTCTCATGTACCACAGTGAAATCAAAGAAAATATTGTTTCTTTATGGCCTTACAACATAAAGTTGCATTTTTATACAAACTGTAAATGTAGTAAAGGTCTTATATGTTCAGTTCATAGGGCATGTTTTGGTTTTTTTGAGTCCTTATGGCTTTGGTTTTGAGCTAACAGAGATGTAAATTGCTACTGTTCTGCTCTCACATTCCAGATACTAACTACTAAAATTATGCAGCTTATATTTGTGAGGCAATTGGCAAAAGTGCTGCAAAAGCTGGGGCAGCATAGGCTGGGAGTCCCAGCATGTTTACAAGGCACATGTCTTTGTAAACATTATGTATGTGTTTTCTGGTTATATTTCATAAAAATTTATTCTATAGATCTGCTAACTTACTACAAACAGTATATCAGCCTGCCACTCCTCATTCTTTTTTTTCTGGCACATAAAATTCCTACAGCTCCTATATATTTTGGCAATCACAGGGATGATACTAAAAAACAGGGAAAAGAATCTTTTCATATGCACACTGCTTTAAGCCAGGAGACTTGCCATCTAATATTAGACAGTTGATTTCATACTTGACACAGATTAGTAGTGCCTTAGACCTAGCATCTCTAGACACATATTTGTCCATTAAATATCTTTGAATCTTCTGCAATGCAAACTAGCTGGATCATAGTTTCCCAGGCATACAGAATTGCTCATTATGTCAGCATCAGTGTCTGATTTGTGCTTTTGGCTCTGGCAGCAAATGGACCTGCAACTTCCATTTGTGCTAGTAGAGTCTTCCTTGAAGGAAGAGAAGAAAATGGAAGGGGTTTTTTTTTCTTACTTCTTTTAGTCTTTATTTTTGTTGTCACTAAATAGTAGCTTCTACCTCCAGATAATGACATGGAAAGGCAGATAATTAAATCAAAGGATTGTAAAATATTCAGTGCCAAAAAGAAAGCTGCCACAAAATCCACTCGCACAGCATACGGAAAGAAAACAAAAAAAATACAACTGGAGAAATTAATAAAACTTGACCACTGGAATCTCTTAGAGAAGACTCTTGAGAAGTGGGTCCACATGGACCTCATGAAGCTCAACAAAGCCAAGTAAGGGCCCTGAAAATGGGTCAGGCTGGGGGTGAAGAGATTGAGAGCAGCCCTGATGAAAAGGATTAGGAGTACTGGTGGTGGAAAAGCTATACATGAGCTGGCAATGTGCACTTTCAGCCCAGAATAAGAGCCCTGTCCTGGGCTGCTTTGAGAGCAGCCTGGCCAGCAGGGTGAGGGAGGGGATTCTGCATCTCTGCTCCACTCTGGTGAGACCCCACAATTGGAGCCCACACCAATTGGAGCTGCCAATACAAGAAGAACGTGGATTTGTTGAAGCAGGACCAGAGAAGGGCCATGAAGATGATTGGGGGATGGAGCAGCTCTCCTTTGAGGAATGGAGAGAGGTGGATTTGTTCAGCCTGGAGAAGAGACAGCTCCAACAAGACCTTCTGGTACCTAAAGAGGGCCTATAAGAGGGCTGGAGAGGGACTTTTCACAAGGACATGGAGTGACAGAACTAGGGGAAATGGCTTTAAACTCCAAGAGGACAAGTTTAGGTTAGAGAGTAGGAACAAATTCTTTATTAGGAGAGGGTGGTGGCACACTGGAACATGTGATATGGAGAGAAGATGTGGATGACTCACCCCTGGTTCAAAGCCAGACTGGATCGGGCATGGAACAACCTGATCCAGCACGTTGCAGGGGGGTTGGAACTAGGTAGCCTTTAAAAGTCTCTACCAACCCAAGCTCGTCTATGATTCAAGATGCCATGGAAATTCTCTAGGATCTGATGAACTGAACAACGTAAACTTCTTAAGTTGTGGTTTGGCCCTAAATGCATAGGATTTTTTAAACTATGATAATATTATTCAACATAATTAATTTAATTTGAAACAGGACCCATTCATACTGTGAAGTGAGAGCTGCTGGATGTGATTTGATAAGCTAGATCTCAGTGATTTTTGTGTTTCTTTTCATCTGCTCAGATGTTCATCCTCCTCGCTGCACACTGGGTGTGCAGGATGGATTCAACCCAGATTGCACAGATAACAGTGGGCAGCCCTGAGATCTGCCTCAGTGCACACCTGCAACTGCAGATTCTGTGCCAAAGCTGCAGGCATGCTCAGCAGATGGCTGGGAGCTTCTAGGGCATGACAGAACACATGGAGCCATTGTCCACGTCTAGACACAGGCAAGCAAGAGAAATCTTTCCCTCCTGCACACGCACAGAGTCTATTTGGGGAAATAAAAGGAGATATTAAAAAAAATCCAACCCAAATTTATAGAAAAAATAGGACACTGACACCAGAAATGAAGCTACCACAGGAGTTTTATATCAAAGGTTACCCCTAAATAGCTCCAAGCTGCATTCATATTTTCAAATTTGTATTCATAGTCACCTAAAAGTCTTGCTGTTTCTTTTTCTTCTTTAAACCATCACATGCCTGTGAAATGTTTTGCTTGACTTGGGAAGGAAATACACTCTTCTGCTTTTCTATGCTAGATTATGTTAAAGGCTTTTCTGCCTACTAATGAGAGATGGAGAGGATGAGCTTTCACCGAGAACTTTTCTTTGAAGTTGAAAATCTTTGGTAGAGCCCTCTCATTTCTAAGGACACTATAATCATCTTGATGGGAGATTAAAAAAAAGAATTCTGGCTCTGTAGCTATCTTCCTCCCACTCTCCCCCTCATTTTCTTTCTCCCTCTCCTTTGTGCACGTGTGCACATCCACACACACACACACACACACACACACACACACACAATATCTCTCTGTGGGGTACAGAAAACTGCACATTTACATCTACACAGGTACAAATATTTTGTTTAAAATAGCTCTTACCTGTAGCACATGCATGCCAACACACACCATACTTCAAGGACTTTACTTTTATCCTTTTCAGTACACTTTTATGGTTTTGACCTTTATTTTCTGTATACATCCACACATCCTGTCAAATCTTTTGCAAATGGATTTTATAGACACAAATATTTGCTCTGAAGGAATCTGGAATTATAAACATCCACACTCAAGGAGACTTCACTTTAAACATGAATACTTTGCTATGGAAATACTTGCATTCTTCACTCAGGGAATAAAATCTGCATCTTGTGTGACTGCTTCCAACCAGCCAGCACAGCTTCAGTTACAATTATGCAGCATAATTCCCTGCGATAGAAGGGTAGTGACAATAATCAATTCAAATGCATTCAGATAAATAATTTTAAAGCAAATGCACATTGCTGGAGGATATTCACCAAGCAGACAAAAAAAAAAAAAAAAAAGCGCCCAGTAGCCTAATATGTTATTTCTTGGGAATAGTTCTTTCTGCCCTCAGGTTGATATATTCTTTGGGAACACTTTAATGCAGTTCCTATAATTAGCTTCACAATCACCTTCCAGAGAATTAAATCACTCTGTAACACTCTCTGCGTGTGCTTTGAAGGCATGGAAGCATACATGGTTCTTGTATCAGCAGAAGAAAGGCTGCAGGGCAGAACCGGGGCAGGGGGCTTTACAGCGTTGCCAGGAGGCACCAACTCGGTTTCCCTGCAGCAGGCACATCTCTCCTCTTTGAGAAACACTGGTGAGTACGGCTCTCACTGAAGCCGCTGGGCATTGTGACAGCTGCTCCCGCAGCAATGCAGCTCGGGGAATGCACATTTGCAGTGTGCAGGGGTGGGGACAGGTATGTGGGGACAGTCAGGTGCTCCTTGGCGTCCCTGGATGAGAAGGGCACCCCTGGGCTGGGTCCCTGGGAGGCAGCTGGCGGCTCTGTCCCAGCCGCTTCCCCTGTGCCCTTGGGCCACTCCCGTTCTGCCCGCTCACCCCTTCCTGCTCACACCCCGCGGCTATGGTGTCTGCAGGCAAAATGTGTTCCTTCAAGTGAGATTAACTGCCTGTGATAGTGTGGAAAGATTGCCATGTGGTTTTTAACTCTTTCAGTGTCCTGGGACAAACTCTGCCAGTGGGAGCTCCCACTCTGGCTGCCACTGCATCTTGTGTTGGATTGGCATGCCAAGAGATGTAAAAGTCATGTCTGAATATCAAGCTGATATACTGTCATGCTTGGTAATTATTCTGTCAAGTGTCTTATGGGAGGCGAGAGCAGAAACAGCTGTGGAAAACCAGGCAAGGACTGTTGTTCTTGCAAATATCTTTGGGCTTGTTGTTCAGTAATTGCATAGCTGTAGAAAGGACCAGAGCTGATGTGACATATTTCATTTTGAGTATAGAATCGGCCTGGTGAAGGAAATGTCTAGAAAAGAAATTGGGCAAAAAATTTACTTCTGATGCTGCTTGCCAGGTATCTGAGAACTTAAAAAGAATAGACTAAAAAAAACCCCAAACTATTTTAATGCCATTTATTCCCTTTTTTTTTCTTCTCTGCAAACTTGAATTTAATAAGAGAAGGTTGCACATTTACATATGTATTAGTTGATTACAGATCCATCCCTGGACCCCAAGGATCTCTGTACCTCCTCATGTCAGTAAGCACCCCTAAAAAATTCCCTATTTCTCATTTTGAACCAGAGAAGACTTTTATGACATTTCATGTTAAAATGTATTTAACTAAAATAATTTCTCAGTAGTGATCTTCAAGATTAGAATTTAGACTGCTCAGGAGTATTCTGTTTGGTTTAGACAGTGATAGTGCTCTATGTCTCAAAAAAACAGAAAAACAGAGCAAAAAACTTACAACTAAATGTCTCTGTGGTAATCTGATTAGACCTTCACTTTATGTGTAATATAACACAGATCTTTAATTTCCTGTAGAATTTCTAATGCACTCATGTTACTGTGGTTCCACAATTACTGGAATACTGGGAGCAAAAAGTTGGAGACAACTGATCAAACACCGGGCATTATTTTTGAGACGTTAAACTAAAATGTTTAAGGGGCCTATGAAAACCTGAAAGCAGCTACTTAACAGGGTGATTTGTTCATTGTTGGAAGCTGAGGGGAAGAGCATTTGTAAGACTAACCTCTCTCGCAAGGATAAGTTAGATTAATGGTTTACAAAATGTTCTGGATACTGTAGCTCTTTTAGCTGCAGGGTTTTAGGTAGGCAGGCAGGTGACAAGTCTGCAGTACGGCAGGTTTGGCATGCACTGCTTATTTAGATTCATACCTGCAAAGCCGGTAGTGATTTCATGCCATCAGAATGAATCTGGAACAGAATTCATTGCTTTTTCCAAGAAAAATAATTTTTGAGAAGCCCTCCTGGTGCAGGTTGTACTTGTTCTTTCTTTGACCTTCACACCTTTTGAACCATATTCTTCTGAAGTGGATGATATAGGGACATTGAAGGACTTTGGTCAAAGTGTAAGACCAGATCCATAAGTCCTAGATTCTTTGTAAACAGTACAGACATCTGTGGGGCCTGGAACTTGTAATCTCATTTTTTATGTGCCTTGAATTAATTTTCTCTGAAATTGTGAAATTTGTCCATCTCCCAAATAGGTAGCTGATATTAAAATTTATTTTTACTCTAGGACATGACATATAGTATGGACAAGAGGTGGCTGGGAGTTTCACTTCATCCCTGCTTCTATCACACTTTCAAATTATCAGTTCCTAAGGTGTAGCTTGAGATGGACGCAGCTCTGGGAGCTGCCATGCCACATATTCCAGTAGCTGTGGTGCCAATAGAGAGAACTGAAAATCTCCTATGAAAGCCCAGAGAATTAAATCATATATTAGAGCAGAGTCAGTGTAAATCCACATGAATACATACATATATAGATATCTATGCATAGATATCAGTCAATTAGCCTGATAAACCCAAATCATTCTGTGATTCTATAATATAAAATTAGGGCAGGATGGTTTTAGCTATGGGTTAAAATTGCTATGCAAATCAGACACTTCCCTTTGCAACTCCTTCCACTGTCAGAGAAGGTATATGGAGTTTATCCTCTTAAGTACAGTAGGAGTAAAGAGCTGTCAGCCTTTCCCTGCCCTCCATTTCCAGCCAGGCCTTTCCTGCCCTCCATTTCCAGCCAGCCTTTCCCTCCCCTCCATTTCCAGCCAGGCCTTTCCCTCTCTCCATTTCCAGCCAGGCCTTTCCCTCCCCTCCATTTCCAGCCAGGCCTTTCCTGCCCTCCATTTCCAGCCAGGCCTTTCCCTGCCCTCCATTTCCAGCCAGGCCTTTCCCTCCCCTCCATTTCCAGCCAGGCCTTTCCCTGCTCTCCATTTCCAGGACAGCATTTCCAGGGCTCTTGTAATAAGAAAGTCTGACTTTCCACCCCAGTTGAAGGTGACTATGCTCTTCGTATTGTCTGTTTACTTCTTTCACAGCTTTCAAGAGGTGCAAGGACCGTGAACCTTTGTTGTGGACAGTGTTTGCCATGTGATGAATTGCCTGGGGCAGCAAGTTCTAGAAAGTCCCATTTTGTCTTCCTACAAAGGGCTGTCATTGTCTCTTCCATAAATGTGTGTTGCACATGTGGCAGGGAGGAACACAGTCTCTAGTTGCATGGCAATGAAATTGTCTTCAGAGGGGAATTTGCCCATACTTAATAGACTATAATACCTTGTCATGTTCTGTAACAATAAGCTTGACACAAGCATCAAAAATCCATTAAAATTTCCATAACCTTTCAAAAAGAAGGCTCAAACAGGATGGGTAGCCATTAAAGAGGAAGCCTGTAGGAACACTGCAGGATCAGCCTCTGAATATATGTAATCTGAATTCATTAATTCCACACAACTTTGTAAAACTTCCCCTTTTAACTGAGGAAGAGGCATGTTCCCTGTTTTTTGTCCTGCTAGAATAATTGCAGTATATTAAGACACACCAGGTAAACCGGAGCAAATCTTGTTTGGAGCTCTCATTTCAACTGCACATTATGCACTTGGCATTGTAATATATTCAAACTGACGGCTTCATTATGGAGAATTAATCTAAGTTATGTCTAGACATATATTTGCAAGAACAAGCATCACAGAGACTGTTTGGTGGCTGACTGTTCAGAGGAATCCAACAAGAAAATCCCTGGCTTAAATCTTAAAAAATAAAAGGTTAAAATGATAAACAAAGGAATAAGCGAATTTAGGTCCTGCTTCAGGAACAATACCGAAACCTTCACCCTAGAATTTTACTAGTTTACACATTCATTCACCGGTTTGCCATTTTAATTATCATCCCCTCTGCTGTAGGGATGCAACCTTGCTGTAATATTACCACAGAAGCCCACACCGCAAGAGTGTAGGGAAGTCACAGTAAGCCATAAGAAGCATTACATGATTCCTGCTTCTGTGTAGTAGAAGTGCCTGGATATGCCCATGCTTTGAAAGAATATTGTGAATCTTATATGGCTAATTTATATCACATGTGTCAAGCAGGTTAGCTATCCTTGTAACATTTGTGAAGTTGCAGACATACATTTAGCACTGCTCCACCATTAATGGTGATAGGGAGCAAGGAGACTTGTAGCTCACTATATAATTATTTATTATTTTTATTAAAGACAAAGGCTTTAGGATTTTCCATCTGGCAATAATAATTTTATTACCCAGCTGTAAAATATCCACAACACTACCAGTGGATCATACAATTAATAGTAAGTTTAAAGTCTCAGTGTACACGGTACCCCAGACTAAACTCACTGCAAGCTAAAAGCTTGCAATGCAGGGCAAGGGAGGGTTATGAGAGGTTTGGTGTTTCACTGTAGCTGGGACAGAATCAGATGCTGGACAGGAGAAAAGTGAGACTTGAGACTGCTTCAGCACCAAGACACCGTATTCACAACAGTAAATTCAACTCCTTGGCATGCCTCTTTTCTCCATGGGGAAGCAGGAAAAACTAGCATGGGCAGAGCCCTCAGTAACAGGTCCTAACAGCTTCCAGCCTGGGGAAGGCTTTCACTCGTCTGACTCAGAGGGAAGGCAGAGCCGGGAAGGTCTGAGCAGAGTGCCTGCAGATACACCAGGTGGTAAAGGTGCAGTGCAAGAATTGCACATGTCCCACAGAAATGGGAATGAGGTAACAATGACGGCAGCATAGGAAGGTCAAATTAATTTCTTAAGATAGCCCAAAGGACCTGAGCCAAACACAGTGTTTGAACCCCAGTGCCTCCTGAATTCTCAGTGAGTAACTTGGAGTGCAGTGCAGTTTGACCTTCGGGAACACTATTGCTGCTACCTTTAGTGAGTGCTTTAAGTGCTGTCAGAAGTGTTTGACAGCTATTTAGAAAGCAGAAGCAGAGGGGTATGGCATTAGTGAGCCACTGCTGTGTGCCCTTCCACTGTGTGTTGCCCTTCTGGTCCCTGCTGTCAAGGGAGGCTGGGGAAAGACGGCAGAGGTTTCAAAGGGGAGCCACAAAGCTGGATTGTGGGCTGCCAAGCAGACTGTAGGAGGGGAGACATAAAGACCACAATTTATTCCCAAAAAAGAAACACAAAGTGCGTGGGTGTTTCGTACAAGTATTAGCACACAGAATGAATATCTGAGAGTAGAGAGTTTTTAAACTTTTACTGACAAAGACGTGACAAGATCCAATCATTGATAAATGTCCTTTGGTGGAAGGAACTCTAAATCACAGCCTGCAATCAGTAATGAGTACCTCTCATGATTGCCTTCAG